TCCTTCCAGACCAGCTCCACGTAACACCTATTATGCTCTAAAGTCAAATCTGACTTTGACCCAATTAGCTGTCACGTGCAGACAAACAAACCCTTAGACTGAAAGCGCTTCGGGGGGAGAATCCTACCTTTGTCCAGCTCAACACGGCCCTGGTCCCGAGGGGAGCTACAGCCAACCCACTCGGGACGAGACCCCCCAGGCCCAGCCCGACACAGGGAGCCCGCAGGACCATCCACCGCAGAGAGGCACAGTCCCATGCCCCCCACCCGCCTTCGCACGCCGCGGCCCAGCGCTCCCGGCACCCCGCGAAGATCGCTCCTGCCACCCGCCGGAGCAGTAGGTGCTTGAGGGCCGCTGCACCTGCTGGTCCCGAGCTCCTGCGCCCTCCCCTGGCTCCGCAGGCCGGGCCTAGCCCCGCCCAGGTTCCTCACGCACCTGCGCCGCTCCGCCTCCGCGGGCTCAGGGACGCTGCTCGCCAGAGCTCCGGCGCTGACTGAACTGTCCCGCGCAGAGCCGGGTCCCACCTCTTCCCGTTCCGGGGCGGGCTCCCTCCGGGTCCTATCACCCGTCTGGTTCGCGTGGGTCCCTGACGGAGGGGAGGGGGCGGGGCCTGGGAAAGCCGGGGGCGGGACCATCCCAACCTCCTCAGCCAATGACGCCTTCCCCGCGCTCCGCACCAATAGCAGGCGGCGTTGTGGTTGCCCCGCGGAAGTTAAGCGAGGCGGGCGGGTTACTATAACGGAGAAGAGGGATAAGAACAGCTGTGTCATGTGCGCAGCCCCCAGCCGAGCGGGGAGCGGCAGGTCGAGCGGGGAGCGCTACGTGCGGGTAGGTACCGGTCCGGCGCGCCCCGCGAGGGGGCGGGATAGTCAGGGCCCGGGGCCGATTGGTTTGTAGGATCCGAGACTGCGGGGGAGGCGGGTCGCGGGGACACCTGGGCCCGCTCATGTGGACCCAGAAGCGGCCCGACACTGACCGGGCTCAGCCGGGGAGCGGCCGAATGTTCCCAGGCAGTCACCCGGGCAGCTCCGTGGGGCTCCGGCGCAGGGGGCCCAGCGTGGGCTGCGGGCGGCCCTCAGCTCCACAGGCGCGTTGTGCCTGTTTCACTGGGACGGGGCTCGCCCTTGATCCTAGTCTCTCCCATGCCTCTGAAACCCCTCCGAGCTAGACGTGCTGGAAGGCGGCAGAGAGCTAGTGCCACAGCGTGGTGGTGGGGAGTAAATCCTGCTTCGCACCCACCGCTGGCCAGGACACCGGCGTCCGCAGTTCAGCAGCCTGTGAGCCGCAGGTTTCCTACTATTGAGGCTTTGACGAACCGTCCTGTTGTCTCCCACGGAGTTGAAGCAGCGCAATATGCACTCCAGAGTGTCCCGAATAAACCTAGTAACGCTTCATTTGGTCTTAATGCTGGTTCAGAGCAGGAGTAGTATTTGCATAATCATTCCTTCAGTGCATTATTAATTACTGCATGAAGTGCTCTGCTAATGAGGATAGTTGTACGACGGTTTAGAGGAAAGAGTGGGAGAAAAAGGGGTTTAAATTAATCAAATTAAGAACACAGCCTACATCAAAACTGGCTCAGCCTAACAAAATGAAGTGACATAGGATTTGATTCCTTCTGTATTCTAATTTACTACAAGCCCATGACTACAGCTAACAAAGAATGTAACTGCAAGCCCCTGTTATCAGAATGCTGATGAAATAGGCAAGTTACACCAAGTAACTTGATAATGAAAGGCATGAACAAATAGAAATTTCATTGCACATTTTTTTGCTTAAAGCCCTTAGAGTGATAGACAGCAGCCCTGTGTCTTTTTTTTTCTTTGTCCTCTTACATTCCCACCTGGAATAGCTCATAAATATACCCCCCCTCCCCAATATTACCAAAATAAAAGTGGAACCCATGTTGTGGTTTGTTATCAGCACTTATGGGAGAAAATCCCTCATTAGAATTGTATGATTCAAAATATGTTATTTACGTTAACCTTCCTCTTAATACATGTGTGGAAAATGCACTGGTTTTTTTTCTGAAATGCTAGTTTCTCTGAAAAGATTTGCTCCTTCCTGATTATGAACCATGGCCGTTCCCCAGCCATTTGTTCATGCTGTGGCCTAAACCTGCATTGTGACTTAAGTGGAAGTTAAAGATGCTCAGTACTTTAAAGAGAAGCTCAAAGCTTCATAGGAGCAGGTCTTTTGTGTAAGTTGGTTTCCAGGAATCTGTTCAAAATGTTAGGCCTGGTCTACATTACACAGTTAGGTTGACGTAAGGTGCCTTGTATCAACCTAGCTGCAGAAGGGTCTTCACTTAAATTTGGCTCCTGCTAATGTAAGTGCCTCTCTATGCTGATTTAGTAACACCACCTCCCTGAGTGGCATAGAGTCACACTCAATGTAATTAGGTTGGTGTAGTGTCAGTGCAGACACTGTGTTGCTTATGTCGACTGTTACAGGTCTTCAGGAGCCATCCCACAATGCCCAACATTGACAATACAATAGGTACAAGTACTTCTGGCTGGTGAGGATGTGTACTGCTGACACAACGAGCCAAGTGTGTGCACACTCAAGCAATTTAATAATTGTGGTGGCTGTATGGTGACATTAGTTAGGTCGACATAATTTTGTAGTGTAGACATGGCCTTCGACTCCCACAAGGTCCTAAATTTACCAGATATTTATGCACAGTTAAAATGAAAAGAATGTAAACCACACTAATAAGAAAACATTTTTGATGTAGTGAATTAATAACAATTTACTAACTGGAAAAAAGTTTTTATATTTAAAGACATCAAGCTGAAATTTAGGGTTGTGGGTTTTTTGTTTTGTTTTTTAATGAGCTAAAAGCAGTAGTATTCCACTGGCCGTGAGTCACCTTGTGAGATAAGGCGTGCAAAACATTTTCAGACAGCAATATGATTTTTAAGTTGCAGGTTTTAAATGTGATATCTTTTTCCAAATAAGTATTTGTTTATTTCTCACACACAGTTTTAATAAGTAATAACAGTAACTTCAGGTCAGGTGTCCTGTTGTTTCTTAATGGAAATCTATTTACTTTCTTTAGGTTTTTGAAGCATGTGATGAAGATAAAAAAGGATATTTAAGCAGAGAGGACTTTAAGGTCGCTGTAGTGATGCTATTTGGTTACAAACCCTCAAAGGTATGGCTTATTTTTTTTTCTCCATCATGTCTTAAAGACTACGTTTATAAGGATATCTCATTATTGAGAGCACCGTATGCAAAGTAGTCTAATAGATCCAGTTGGGCAGAGCTGTTACAATTCATGACGTTAACAGAAGTATAGTCTGATTCTTAGAAGTCAGGTGTCAGTTGTGTGTGTGTATTTAAAAACAAAAGGCCCAAGCTATTAATTTTCATGTTGTGAATATTGTCACTATCCACATTAATTTTGCAAAATCCTGCTCTGAGGGTTTACAAGGTGGGTGGGAAAAGAGGGTGTAGTGAGCCCTGCTTAGTTTAAAGTGTGATATGAGAGCCAAATGATTGTGCATTAATATACACACAGGCCATTTGCTTATTTCATGATGCTCTTTGAGAAGAAATTACTGTCTGTTACAATAAGTAAACACATATTCGTGGAGTCACTTACGGCTCCAAGAAGTGCAAAATGTACTTCTTCAACCTTGCCTTTTCTGACATATAAACACAGCAGCATGCACTTTGTTTGTTTTAAAGCCTACCAAAATACTATGCAACATACACATTTTTTTGTCTCGGGAGAGGATGAGAGAGAGAATAAAATACATGTGCGAAATGTTAGTCTTGTCGCTTCTTACAGTATTGGAATGCAGTCATATACTTTGGGGATGGGAATGGTACCTGAACAGAATAGATAGAGCATGTATAAAAGATTATACAATCATGGTGTTGTACGTAATCACTGAAATAAATGTATCTGTGTCCATCACCATGTTACTATCCAGACGCATGTTTACACATGTAGCTGGTTAATCTTGCATAGTGTCCACTTAATAAGGAAATAAAGTACTGTGCACTATGTTAATTTCTCAACCAGCTTCTCCCAATTTATTAAAGCAATCACTCTTCATGGAGGCCTGCATGTGCTGCAAGCTAACTTCAAACCACTTGTCACTCATTTAAGTTCTAAAAAAGTATCCTAAAAATTTTAGTGTTGTTTTTCCCCCCATGATCAGATTACTTAAAAATAACAGAATAGAATTTTACCAAACTTTACAAAAATATTTTCCTCAGCTGGCTTTCAGCGTTGGGGAGGCAGGGGGAGGGAGGGGGGAGCCTGCACACCGACTCCTCGCTCCTTCTCCCTCCCTCCTGCTTCCAAAACGCTGCAAGCCAGCTGAGGAGAATATTTTTGTAAAGTTTGGTAAAATTCTATTCTGTTATTTTTAAGTAATCTGATCATGGGGGGAAAAACAACACTAAAATTTTTAGGATACTTTTTTAGAACTTAAATGAGTGACAAGTGGTTTGAAGTTAGCTTGAAGCACATGCAGGCCTCCATGAAGAGTGATTGCTTTAATAAATTGGGAGAAGCTGGTTGA